TGAAAACTTTTCCGTAATGTGATCAAACTTGCGCCTAAAGAAAATAGAATTGTTCTAAAAAACATTTCTTGCTTTATAAAGAGTTCTATTAAATTTAGTTAACTTTTTACAAACATGATCTATGTGTTGCTTAAAACAGAGCTTATTATCTACCACAATCCCAAGATACTTGAAGGAGTTCACAACATTAAGTTTCTGATTCCCCAAAAAATTTTCAGATTCTTTTGAACTCCTTCCGAATTTGGATACTTGCGTTTTATCAATGTTGATGGTTAGTCTACTATTTGTGCACCATTTTTCTATCAATTTAAGGTCCTGATTAAAATTTTTATCAATCGAATTGTTTTTGAACGTAGTAAGAATCTTTGTATCATCAGCCAACAGACAAATTGAGATTATGTCACTTTCCTAGGCATGTCGTTAATATAGTGTAAAAATAGCAGTGGACCTAAGACAGATCCTTGGGGAACTCCGAACGTAATATTCTTTAGTTGAGAGTTGCTCCCACAAAGAGATATATACTGTTTACGATTGTTTAAAAAAAACTGTAGAAAATTGTTTGTTATACCGCGGAACCCATAGAGATCTAATTTGGTTAGTAAAATGGAGTGATCAATTGTGTTAAAAGCCTTTTTAAAATCTACAAAACGCGCTAATCCAGATTTTTATCATCTATACAGGGACGCATTATTTCGATTTTGATATAAACTTTATCATGCGAATGTGTAATACTTTTTCGAAAATTTCGCTGAAAGTACTTAGCAAGTTGAGGGGTCTAAAATTGTTTGGCTCTGTTTGTTTTCCCGTTTTATCAAATGGTAGTACTTTTGCTATTTTACAAATGTCTGGAAAAACGCCAGCATTAAGGCATTGATTAAAGCCGAAATTTAAAAATGGCAATAATATCGGTGCACAAAACTTGACCAACCTATTATTGATGCCATCATGACTGTCCGATCTTTTGTTTTTCAGTTTTTCTATATCAATAGAAACTTCCGACTCATCAGTTGGTCAAAAGAAAAAAGATTTTTCAGTTGCTTCTATGCCTGCAGTAGTAAAATTACAAGGTGTATCGGTTGCAAGGCTTTGACCGACTTGCACAAAAAAGTTGTTGAAATCATCAACATCAATTTTTCTAACAACCGGAGAAATTTTTTCGGAAAACCCTTTAAAAGCGTTGGAAAGACTTTTTGCATTGCTTCGCAACGTTAATTTTTCTACCATAGTAATTTCTCTTGGTATTACGCATCAACCGATTGACTAATTTACACTTATCTTTATTGTAAGATTTTTTCTCTTCGGTTGGATTGTTAATCAGAAGCAAATGAAGTTCATCTCGTTTCTTAAATTGTTTTTTCAAATCGAGAGTTACGCAAGACTGCGATTTTTTTGTTCCGGGTGACAGTTTTTTTCAGGACAATAAATGTTACAAAAATCTACCAAAATTCTAGGAATTAATTCTAGAGAAGAAGCATTTTATAAGCGATGATTGAGTAGAAAAAGCAGTTTACATGCCGTTGTCTCCTCCAATAAACATCTGAAATCTCGATACTTTCTAGAAGTATTCATATCAAAATGCCTTTCTAGATCAGTGTTAACGAGCAGGGCGTAGTGATCCCTGATAGTGCATTTCAATGTTGATACCTCGTGATAAATATTTGCAAAAACTTGATCGATACATGATGAGCTATGGGTAGTTTCTCTAGTGGGTTCTTCGTTTAACAACTTCAAACCGATTGATAGGAGTAAGTTTTTATAGTCAACTAAAAAAGAGGAATTTACCAAGTTATCAACATTAAGATCACCACAACATCAAATTTGTTCTTTGATCTGAGAAACATCATGAAGTAAGGAATCCAAATTCAACAAAAAAAGTTTCCTGATTCATTGATGGTGCTTTGTATAAAACGCAAAAGTGTTTTTTCGAATGATTATTTTCAACAGTTATCATTAGATTTTCAATATCATTATCAAAGCTTTTTGAAGAAGCCGTTAAACCATTTTTAACTAAGCAAGCAATACCCCTCCCTTTTTACCAGCCCTGTTTTTGGTTATGATTGCCTGATAGCCATCAATGCTGTAAAGTCCTTTTGATCATTATCAGTTAGTCATGTTTCACATAAAGCAATCAATGCTGTAGCGTGTTTAGTCTGTCTAACTCCACTTTCAATAAATCTTGACGGCATCTAGGTGATTGTATATTGAGAAAAAAGAGATAATCTTTTTCAAGTATTCCACCATTTTCCCTCCCCAAAAAGTCTACCATAATAAAATGGAACAAAGAGTTTTGTTTTAATTTGAATTTTTCACGTCAGTTTCCTCATCCGATATATTCTGCAAAGTTTCCAGTTTGTTGATTTTTGAAGGCGGAGATAATTTTTTTGATATGACAGTCTCCAATAAGGTGCAGATTTTTTCAATTTTTCATCAGCATTCAACTTCCCTTTTGGTACTCCCTTTCTAACAGTACCCAATATTTACGGTTCCAATACATTAGTTCCCATATTCAAATCCAATTCACCAGTAGAAAACTTGCAATCATTTCGCTGAGTCGGAACAATGTTACTCGATCTCCTTGCACTTTTATCATATTCCAATGAGCTATGCCGGTTACGCACTTTATCCACATCATTTTTAGAATTAACTTGAACGCAGCTCTCACCAATTTTCACTGATGGTTGACAATTGTTTGTTGTTACCAGCAGTTGTTGGTCCTTTGCGTAGTTTACAACATCACGATCCCACTCAGCAAGCCGCTCCACTATGTACACACGCTTGGTTTTATCATGCTTCATGAGTTCTTTCCTATTTCGCCACACCAAAACCTTTTGATGGTGATACAGGAATTTAATTATGATTGGTTTTATCTGATTTATGCTAGTAAGGTAGTGGCAGGCCGCTAAATCTTCCTGATTGATACTCATTCTCAGCACATTTCGTATAATACCCAAAACAACAGCTAACCGTCGGTTTGTAATCCAAGAAAATTTCAACATAACTTCGAGGAATATCGCTCAAGTTTCAGTACCTTGTCTTTACTTAGGGAGTTTTTAGATAGCAAATGATCATTTTCTGATTTTAAATAATTAATAGTATTATCCTGTTGTTCAATGCGACTGATAAGGGCAGTCTTTAAATCTTTAATTTTATCAGGATTTCTTTATTAAATCTTTAATTTGATCATGAGTATATAAGAAACGTTGGTCAAACTGAGCAGTAAAAATGCCCACTTTTTAGTTTTTACAGCGCCTGCTGACATAAAAATATACTTCGAGTGATATCTTTTACGTCGAGTCAAATCTTCATTATCTCAGCTCAAACATTTGATGAAAAAACCAAACTTTTTTGTGGTTTGTTTGAACTACCCCTTTTTAATTTAGACGTTTGGACATTTGTGTAAGATGCATTTATTTTCTGATGATTTTTAAATCACCAGAATTCAAATGATTTAACTAACATAGTGCACTCTTTACAAATGGATTCAATGTCAGCAGCAGCAGGGCGCATCTACGATTTTATCAAAAGGGGAATTTTAAAACTTTTCTTAAAGTTTGTCGTCTTTTTTATAGGTCAATCAAATTGATTTTTGAGCTCTCCCAAGTCACTATTTTTCATAAAAATTTCAGGACCGCAAAACAGCAGGCCTAAAAATGCGTTATTAGACTCGCAACACTAGTATTTACTCGCGCCAAAGTTGCCTTCAGATAAACTTGGGGCCTGTCAGCCAAAAATTGATGTCTTAAAATAGTACATAAGAGGGACCCTGTGGGTCGGCAGGGGTCGAATCACTCAGAGGGGATTCAACCTCCTGTTTTTGTCAAGGTGCTTTGTTTCAGTTCAACGGCATTTCAGTTCAACGGTTCATTCAGCAATTTGCCATCGGCAGTTAGTCTGAATTCGAAATTATTAGTTTTATATCAACACGGGGCAAAATTTTAAAATTTAGAAAAATTGTTCTCCAAAGTCGAATCCACTTTTATCTGCAAAGCGCATATACCTTGCTACCCAGAAGCCATGTGATTTAATTATACGCCGTTCATTTTCTTCAGATTTTTGACTGAGAAAGATTATTTCGAAACTAAACGCATTTTGAGTTCAAAATTTACAAACTCCCGAGTAATTTTAATTGGTATCTAGATTAAAACTGATGGTGCAACTGAATGGTCGAATGTTCAAACGTTTGGTCGAACAAAAACCTTTGAAGGGCTCTCCGGAATATGCGCTCCTATTTGACCTGCGTGTTATTAAATTGTTTACACTAAGTATCCAAGACTCACTACTTTGGCGAGCAACATTTTCTCCATACGATTCTCGAGTAACCCCTCTGCTGAAACTGCTGGAAACCTTGTTACCAAGAAAAGATTAACACTGACTGGAGATCTTGGGAGCACGCAATTTTTACTGCTTGAAAATTGGAAAATTTTTGATTAAATATTTGCTACCTATCCTCAGTTTGTTCTCAAAAATACTGAAAATCCCAATATAATAACATTGGCTTATACGTTCGACGAATGCTGGACATTTTCGGATAAACATTCGAAGGTTATTTTCAAACGAATGTTGCACCACTAATTCAAACCAAAACACATGATAATCTGTCTGGTTTTTATCTGCAGGGTCTGGTTTTGAGTTGAAAGATACCCACGAGATTGCAAAGCCCCTTACCATCTTCGCCGGTGGAATTAGAATACTCGTGTGATTATTCCAATTCCAATTGTAAGCTCATAAAACTTTTTCCAATGTTTTTAGTTAGCTTTGGAGCTTCTCTCCCGTTTGTTTTCGCGAAATTCACTCAAGTCAAAAACATCATGCCTTAGTCAATTTATTCTGGAAATAAAGTTTCTTTCCCTTATTACAATAGATCCAAAATAGAAATGGCACAGTTTCTGTAGTTGGTCAATAATTTATTCTGGATTTTTTGTTTCCTAGCCAAGCATGTTTTAAATATCCACCTGGAATTAGAAATTACAAAGGAAATCAAAATCATTAATTATTTAAACTTTCCATTTTACTACGCCACGCAAAAGTACAGGTGATCTCGGGATATTTATTTCAAAAAAGCAACATACAGTTTTTGGTCAACATTTGGGCCAGGAAAACAGTAGCAATGATTTTTTATTTGCTTGGTACAATCTTAGTGGCTGGACCCGCTTTCACCCAAATACTGAAATATCCAGGAGACGTATGCTCAATAGGTAATAACACTTATTTTTATTGCTCTTTTGTCCAGAGTTTGGATATCATTAACCATTGAATTATATTACTGACCAAAGTGACATAAATGACGGGAGATTACTTGGCAAATGCGGGCAAAAAAAAGTTTCGAAAGAAAAAAAATACTTCATTATAGAAGGATGCTTCTCTAAGCAGGTGATTTTGGTGTATTTTCTTTATTGAAAGTAAAACTGAAAACTTTTGAAGGTTTTTTGTGCTTTCAAAATAATCATCATTCAATCGCGATTTTTTTCCGACGCTCCTTCCCCCTCATAAGCATTGGCGCCGAATTTGCCTTTAGAACAATTTAAGGTTAGGTCAACCAAAAAAGGGTGTCGTCACCAAAATTAACACAGGAGGGAATGACCAATTGAAAAATGGAGGCAATTAGAGTTGAGAATGGGGGAGCGGTCGCTTCGGCTCCCTTTGCGTGATATTTTACCTCTCTTTTTTTTCGAATGACCTTTGACCTCCCTTTAGAACTGCGTGACAACCACGAGTGTCTGCGTAACACGGGGTGTATTAAGACGGGGGTGTTTGACAATGGACAGGACAAACGACAGTGCATGTGCAGCGAGGGAAGAATACTCGACCCCACTCTCTGGTGCAACGACTGCGATCCCGGGTTGGTAGACACAAAAAACGACCTTGAGACACAAAAAAAAGTTATGGTTATAAGGAATGGCTAGTTAAAATTTGTTTGTGTAACTCAAATTTGAACGTCAGGTTGAATATCATAGTGGAATTCGACTTTCACGGATTTCTGGATTCAGAAACATTGCAATTATATATATAATCCTTTATAATGTCGATTTATACCTGCAAAAAAAATTTGAATCATAATGGAATAGATTGGTTTATAATATGACAACAACATTTGTCGATTTATTTTCAAAACCTGCAACAAAGTGTGCATAACTCGGAAGCTATTAGTTTTCTGAAATGAAAGTCCCAGGTTGAGCTCGCGTTGAAAATTAGTAATAAAATGGTGAAAAAAAAACAGCGATCACTATCGATGAATTATTGATGTTCATTGCCACAATAGCAAGTTTTATCGATGGATTATCGCTAAATTAGTGCTGGAAAAATTATCAATTTTTTAGCGATGAAACAACAATATTTCATGCATGATGTAAACTGTTTATAACGCTTATAACGCTCTCAACTTTGATAGCAAATTGAATTAAAGACCGAAATAAAAACTGAATTAAACTAGATTTTATCATAACATCAAAGTGAAACCAACAGTATCAGTCGTAAGCCAAAACTTTTCCTGCAGCAAAGTGAGCTTCGAACCTTTGATATTGTTTAAATGAAATGGGTCGCAATCTGCTTGAAACTATTTGGGCCCGATTTCAGCCTGGAAACATTTTTTCGGAATTGAGGGTTTCTTCAAGTTTTTCATCGAGAGATACAAAAAATTGGCTGCCCAGACTTTTTGTTATATGAACTTTAAAATGTAACTCTTAAAAGTGTGAATCTTTCATACCTAATTTTCATAATTTTTATAAAAATCCCCAAAAATTTATGAAACTGCAAATTTTTTCTTTGAGTTTTGTGTTGAAAACTTTGATCATTAATCACAAGCAGGGGCGGATTTAGGGAGGGGGCTTGAAAATCTTTACCTGCCATGTAGTCGACTCCCTGACCAAGCAAAGAGTGCCCTTTGCTAATATTTTAAGACCTCCATGTTTGTTGGCTGACCATAAAAATTTTCCAAAAGCTCTTTGAGCGCCAATCTGTACTACTTTCGATCACGCGCCGAAAAAATGCTTTTTTTGCTGGTTTTTTGAAAATTTGCTTGGCGCAAAAAGTTTGGCCAAAACATGGTCTTTATATTGCTTCAGGAGAGCTCTAAAAATCATTTTTGTCAACCTAAAAAAGGAACAGAACTTTTGAAAATTTTTTGAAAATCCCCCCAATCGAGAAAACCCGAGATCCGCTCATGACCACAAATAATTTTTGACTCAATGCAATCAAAATTGCATAAAATGATTCCTACGTACCCAAAAAAAAATTTTGCAAAACAAATATTACTTGTAACCTAATAAGAAAACTAAGCATAAAAACTAGCTTTTACCGGTGAATGGCAATGAGACGGTTCGATTCAAATAGTTTCGAACTTAACAGTCACTTAGAACGCTTTGAACTTAATAGTCACTTAGCAGAAAGAGGACAGCATACAAGTATAGGTAAACATCCTAATTAGACGAAAAGGGGGCGTTCAACAGTGCCGAAGTACAACAGTGCCGAAAAAGGCGGGAAAATTTCAGAATAATTTACACGCATTTTCTAAAGAGCGGGAAATAACTGACGCTAATTATCAAGAAAATCACTCCAATTTTGGCGCCAATATGTCTGCAATTGCAAATTAAACAATTATTTTGGCGCCAAAACGTCTACGTTGCAAACTTTCTCGATCAAAATCTAAAAGTTTTACTTAAGATTGTAAACGATCGCTGTTTAATTTTTGATTGCCGCACTTTATATGTTGAAAATTATTCAAATTTTTGGCACTGTTGAACTAAGTTTCCTTTTTCGGCACTGTTGAACAAAGTGCTCATTTTCGGCACTGTTGTACTTCGGCACTGTTGTACTGTCCCGACAAAAATTAGTTGCCGAATTTCAAATCACTGTTAATTACAACAGTTAATCATTCATTTTTTCATTTTGTTTGAGGGCAAGCAAGTTGTGAGAAAGCATTTTGTTTAGCACCTACAGTTACCCACAGAAATGCATTCTTTTTGTTTGTTCTGCTCTTTATTAACCCGGGTTGACCAAAAATGCTAGTCATACAATTTCCATATATATGGAAAAATGCTAGTCATACACTTTCCATGCAATTCCATACGTACAGAAAATTGCATGAAAGGTCTATGATTAGTATTTTTTCATATATGGAAATTGTATGACTAGCATTTTTTCATGCATGGAAAGTGTATGACTAGCATTTTTTCATATATGGAAATTGAAAATTTAGAAATTTTTCATATATGAAAATTTTATGACTAGCTTTTTTTAACAATTACAAATCCAGCAAAATGAGGCAAAAAAAAACTACTTTAGTTCCCATCCCATACGACGAGCAGTCCCTGAACAGAGAAGAAAAAACCAGAGAAAATTTTTTTTCTCATAGTCAATTCTCCTCACACACTGAGAAAGCAGAGCATGTCTTAATCTTATCAAAGGGGGACTCCAAACCAGGAGGGGCTGCCTCAGAAAAATTAAGAAAAAAACCTGTTAGCTAGCTGAGTAATCCAAAACAAGAAACAGTCCACCAGAGTCATCAATATTCTGGAATTCTTCGCTTCCAATCACATCTGGCATCAACATCTAAAACAGTTCCCTATAAAACACACATTTAATTGACACTCAGGTTGAAAAATTGAATCAAACATTTAAACATCGAATTGATTGTTCAAAGAGTTTTTTTCAAAAAAAAAATTAATGCTAATCATACAATTTCCATATATGGAAATTGTATGATTAGTATTTTTTTCATACTTTTTTTTCCTTTTTTTTATGAAGAGATACCAATTTCGATACCAAAACAACTATAAAATACCTTTGAAATTCGATTAAACTCATTTTGCAAAAATGTATGAAATTTGTATGACTAGCATTTTTCCATAGACTAAGTGTATGAAATTGTATGATTAGCATTTTCGGTCTATGGAGGTCAAACCGGGAAGTTCGCTGTCTAAATCAGACCTGTCTCTTAACCATTCACCCATTCACCCATTCATCTCCTCACACCAACTCCTCCCCTGCCCATCCCTCTCACAATCCCAACACCCCCTCCCCCCGAGGTACAGCAGCCTCAAAACTAACTTTCCCTCAGCGTTTACCCACTTACCTCCATCAATTATATGCTGTTATCTTCATATATTAATAAATAAGCATTTTGTAAGAAATTTAAGATACCCACAAAGAGGATAAAAAACAGAAAACAAAACTTCCATTTCATGAAAACAAGCCATAAGTAAATCTGATATTAGCAGTAATGCGGCAATTGCAACGTTTCAGGTTTTGAAGGCATTGATTGGTTTCCAAGATTCTGGTTAATTTTAGAATACAAAAACGCTCAGAATAAATTTTAACTGGAATTAGTTGATTAGTATCATGAAAAAAATTAAATTGATAATTATTCGATCACAGTCGACTTGTTAAGTTACTTGTAGTTCCATACAGTTACTTGGTAATGAAAAATCATTATAAATCATTTCGATCCAGAAAGTTTCACAAAATTGGTTATAATATGGCAGCTGTTGCAATTGGGTTTTCTCGTAAAATGCTTTAGAGCCTTATAAAAATTGAAAAGCATATTAAAAGCGCAAAAAAACTTCGGCTACAAGATGGGCAGGAAAATTTTTATAAAAATAGTTTCTGTTTTCATGTATTCTTTTGAGATAGTTCAGACTAAAAACTAAATTCTCGGAATTTTTTTTGCAACCAGGGAAGGGGCGAGTTTTAGCAAAAACAATATTCTAGCATACAACATGAAAGTTGAGTCTTTTTAGCAGACTAACTTTTGACAATTGGCCTAAAAAGGCAACTGGCGGAAAAAAAAAAGACGCTAAGTTTGGATTCTTACTTAATTGAGCTTCCCGAACAAAACTCTATCATCTTTAAAAATAGAAATGTCAAAAGTAGCGCACAATGATTAGACACTGATTCACGAGCCCATCATCACTAGGACC